AAGTCCTTGAAGCATTGTAATTTCACTGAATATTCATTCAATCAATTAAATTTAATCATTTTGTGAATAAAATATTCAGATATTCATCCAATCATTAAATTGATTATTTTCATTGTTAACACAAACAACTTTAAATTTATTTACAGGGAATTGTTATTCACGCCCCACGTGACTAATTGTAGTAATGTGACCAATGAATGGCTTAGCCAAATAAATCATGGCTTGATCAAATAAATCGTTTATATAGAAATGGCTTGGCCGTTTAAAATGTGATGATCCGTCTAGAACTCTAAATAACTAATCGACGACTTTGTATAAAAAAATGTTACTATATTTTTTATTTTGCGTTATGAACAAATGTCAAAGAACACGTCAATACATTTTTTTAAGATTATCGAAAAAAAGGGTTTTATTCTTAGTATTAGGGATGTAGAGATAGATGAGTGAGAATTTTCATAAAAATGGTTTTTGCGTTTGTGTAACTTTATTTCAGTATCAAACGATTGAACTTTTTTATTCTGAACTATTTTTAAACTTAAACTTCGAAATTATTTCAAAACTTCAAAACTTTTAAAAAAAAGCAAAATGATGTCATAAGTGTTTTTATATGAGAAAAGGTTTAAAAACAAACAAAAATGATATTTTTCAAAAAATTTACTCGAACTTTACCACGTGATTATATTTCCTCCGTTTTTTAATGTTAATAGTATTAATATTTATTTATAATAATAAAAGGTATTTCAATTCGTATTATTAATGTTATTTACTCTTTTATTGTACTCAACTTTATTTCTTTCCATTCCACATTTATATTGACACGTAAAGCTTGCTTTTTTGAATTATAAACACTTATTGTGTATGAATTTGAATTATTTATTTTTGTTTCCTATGTTGTAAAATAACATTATCGTTTGCATGAGAACCTTATGCAACGTAAAAATTATAATAACCAATAATAAAAAAATAAAAAATAAAAGTAAAAGAAGAGTACAATTTATAATATTACAACCAAAAATCAAAGTAATAAAATGAAGCTATCAAAGAGCTAAAGAGCAAATACAGCCTTATTTACTATTTAAAATAAACCAAAAATAAATGGTTAATATGTTTTAAAAACAATGATATTGACTGTAATGACAGTAATGATGAAAATACTTACTTTCTATTCATTATTTAATATAAACCAAAAATCAATGGTTAATATGTTTTAAAAACAATGATATTGACTGTAATAATAGTAATGATGAAAATACTTACTTTCTATTTATTATTTAAAATAAAACAAAAATCACAGTTAATATGTTTTCAAAATAATGATAATAATAATGACGAAAATACTTACAAACTTATTCATTATTTAAAATAAAATAAAAATTAACAGTTAATATGTTTTCAAAAACAATGATAATAATAATGACGAAAATACTTACAGGCTTATTCATTATTTAAAATAAAACGAGAATCAGACAACAGTTAATTATGTTTTCAAAAACAACAATATTGAGTTAATAAAATAGTAACTTACGTATCTATTTATTATTTAAAATAAAATGAAAACCAATGATTAATATGTTTTCAAAAACAATGTAATAATAGGTACAAAAATACTTACGGATCTATTTATTATTTAAAATCAAATGAAATCCAATAGTTAGTATTTTTTTCAAAAAACAATGATATTTGACTATAATGATGTTTATTGCAATAGTTAGATGAAATACCTCGCTTCTTCAA